GTATAATAGTTAGAACAATAATGCTTTCAATACCTTTCAAAAGTATAAATAGGAACGGCAAACTATAGTTAAAAATGAATCAAAATTAAGCTTTAAAAGTAAGTTAATAATGACGGATTATTCAATTGATCGCCATGTTGATTCAGACACTCGCTTCACCAGGGGTATGTGGGAAACCAAACAAGGTGTGAACATTAACTGGGCTGCTGAAGGAGTCAAAACTGAAGTCCAAGAACAATCTTCCATTTATTCTGTGGCTTCCACAAAGAATATTAGACATCGTGGTGATTATCTCAATGTTGCTACTATTAGCACCAAGATATCTTCGCCAAGGAAAGGAATCATTGGAGTTGAATCCTATCATCATCTTTCTCCTTATTTAAACTCCAAGGAAGCGAGGTTTGATACTTTAAGTGAGAAAACACAATGTTCTGCATCCGTTACTGAAGAAGGAGCAATTGTCACCGCTGAAGGAGGTATATCTGCAAGACTCCAAAACAAGCCCTTCAATATTGATTTTATTGGAGAGGATTTACAGCTATTAACTAAACTTGGATTTAGATCCCTTGGCCATGTTCTAGATTCAAGGTATCCTAGAAAAACATTGAGTGCTAACAGAGCATCTCCCTATATGACCGCTCAACTCCACCTTTCTGTGGGAGAAAAGGTCTTTGGATTGGGGGAAAGATTTGGTCCCTTTGTTAAGAATGGCCAAAGAGTCGAAATATGGAACGAGGATGGAGGTACTTCATCAGAATGGACATATAAGAATATTCCTTTCTATATGTCAAACCGTGGTTATGGGGTTTTTGTTGACTCAACCTCCAATATTATTTTTGAAGTTCAATCAGAACGTACCACTAGGGTTAATATTACTGTTCCAGGAGAAGGAATCCGTTTTTATATAGTTTATGGACCCGACCCTAAGAGTATATTACAAAGATATGCCCAATTTACTGGATTTCCAGCTCTTCCACCAGCCTGGACATTTGGCCTTTGGCTCACTACTTCATTTACTACAAATTATGATATGAAAACAGTTAGTTCTTTTATTAAAGGAATGCATGATAGAGGAATTCCTTTACGTACTTTCCACTTTGATTGTTTTTGGATGAAGGGGTTCCAATGGTGTGACTTTGAATTTGATGCTGAGTTTTTTCCAGATCCTAAAGTAATGCTTAGAAAACTTAAAGATGAATTCGGTATTAAAATTTGTGTTTGGATTAATCCTTATATTGCGCAAGAATCAGCATTATTTAAAGAAGCAGTTAAAAATGGATATTTGATTAAGAATAAAAATGGCGATGTGTACCAAACTGATCGTTGGCAAGCAGGTATGGGAATTGTTGATTTCAGTAATCCAGGTGCATATAAGTGGTTTCAAAAAAAGCTTTCAGACTTAGTAGATATCGGTGTTGATAGTTTTAAAACAGATTTTGGGGAACGGATTCCATGCAAAGACATAGAATTTTATAGTGGTGAAGATCTGGTATCAATGCACAATTATTACACACTTTTGTACAATAGATCTGTTTTTGAAGTACTTGAAAAAAATTAGGAAAAAATGAAGCTTGCCTTTTTGCTCGTAGTGCTACAACTGGTGGTCAAAAATATCCTGTTCACTGGGGTGGTGATTGTGAATCAACATTCGAAGCTATGTCAGAGTCATTAAGAGGCGGATTGAGTTTGGGACTTAGTGGTTTTGGGTTTTGGAGTCATGATATTGGTGGTTTTGAGGGCTCGCCTGATCCATCGATCTATAAGCGTTGGTGTGCATTCGGTCTTCTAAGTTCCCATTCTCGTCTCCATGGAAGCGACTCATACCGAGTACCTTGGAATTTTGATGATGAATCTAGTATCGTCTTGGCTAAGTTTACAAAGCTCAAAATTTCGCTTATGCCTTATATTTTCAACATTGCAATTAATGCTCATAAAAATGCTGTCCCGGTCATGCGTGCCATGCTCTTAGAATATCCTAATGACAGTACAGCTTTCACAGCAGATACTCAATATATGCTAGGTGATAGCTTGCTTGTTGCTCCAGTGTTTTCTGCTGAAGGATATGTTGATTATTATGTACCAGGAGGATCATGGTATGGATTATTGGATGGAAAAGTTAGAGCATCTACGGACGGAAAATGGTTTAAAGAAAAGCACAATTATATGTCACTTCCCTTATTAGTTCGCCCAAATTCTATTATAATTACTTCAGGCCCTGAGCATCTCAACGAAAAGCCTGATTATGCCTGGAATGAAAACTTTATGATTAATTTGTATGCTGTTAATGAAAATATCTCAACAAAAATCCCTGACCACCGTAAACCAGGTGAATACAATGCGACTGTAATTGTTGAAGCAAAAGGAAATAAATTGAATGTATCTGTTGAAGGTGACTTTAAAAAGCCTTATACTATTAGGATTCTAGACTCAAAAGACCAGGTAATTAGATCTGAAAAGGGTGCTACTATTATCGGGGCCGATGAACATGGAAACAAGTTGATAAGTGCAGAAAATGGGAATGTTGGCCTTGAAATTAATTAGCCTTTTTCATTTAGATTTTTTATGACCTCTTACCTATATATGATTATTGTAACCTTTGTCGTTTTCGACGAAATATAATCTTCTCATATTAATTACATAGGTAATATATAATTCAATGTACACTACTGTTCTTTACGTCTCCTTTTTTGGAAGTACGCAACCATCCTATTGAAAATGCTTACATAAACTTGAATTAAGAAAATATACTCCAACTCTTTCTATTTCTTACCTATGCTTACGTGGAAGATAAACACTAAAACTAGATAAAACAATAATAATCCTTTATGCCCATTTACCAAGCACACTCATTAGAATAAAGCCAGCTATCAACGAAGTCAAAGCTATGCTAGTTTTTAAGAAAGATGCTGTAGCCAAATAACCAAAAATCCAATCATGGGCCCACATTTCAATCAACCCCGTCCAAATAAGGATACCGGCTGAAAATGAATCTAATGTACCCAATGCTATTATGGTGCTTGGGTCATTACCGTTAAATTTATTTAGAGTTCCAATGCCTATAGCCATACCAACTGGAGTAACAATTGAATAAACTCCTGCCATTAGTAATTTTTTTAATAATTTGGTATTAGAGAGCTCCACAATTCTTGTACTCAAAGCAATTCCTTCGAACATTTGGTGAAATAAGATTACAATGAAGAGAGTAATAAAGTATGAGTCACCTGCTACAACTAAAGTTATACCGAGTAAAATAGAATGAAAGACAATCCCAGCTTCCATTACAACACACGAGAACTCATCATTAACTAATATCAAATCATTGTGTGTATGGATACTTTCAGAGCTAATGGTTTCTTCAGTAATATCGTTAGCCTTCTCAGGATTATTTCTCTCTTTTAAACACTTTGAAGATTTATTAGTCCTCCAGCCAATAAGCCTATTTCCCATGTACTCTATCAAGAAGGTGAGAAAGATGCCTGCCATGGTAATTGATGTTGCTGTTGACTCATATCCAAGGGTAATGCATGAATTTCCCCACATTAAATCGGCATGGGTCATAAGATGAACAAATGCAGTTGATATAATAATGCCCGTACCAAATTGCTTAAGAATAGTAATGATTATTCCATCTAGTTTAAATTTGAAGAAGCTTGTCAAGAATATGGGTCCAAAAGATCCAATTGCACTTGTTACAAGGATGACAAAAAGCAAACCAATTCTTAATGGAATATCATAATCACGATTAACTCTTTCGCAAGCCTCAGTCGTAGCCCCATGTTCTGATTCACCTTCCGAAACACAATGTTCCACACCGGCATGAAAGTGACAATTTTTTCCACCAGACGACGAAGATATTGAAGATGACGAGGACTCTGATTCTTTCATAAATTGGACTTCATCTCCTTCTGAGTTTAGACAAAAAGTATCTCCTTCGTGGGAATGACAACCCGTGTAACTTGAAGGCGAATTCACAGTTCCACTTGGAGCAGGAACTATAGAGCCTTCATTTCCCTCACCATCTATACAAAATTGTTCGGAACCGTGTAAATGACAACTAGTCACTGCTGTTGTTTGAGCTGCATTAGATGAATCATTTGATGAATCGGAGACTCTACTCCTCGTAAGAGTTGCTTCTATCTTACCATCATTAAATAGACTTGATTGACCCACTCTAAAGTCTCTAGTGGATGTTACTGTAACAGTCTTTGCGATTGATAAGGCAATAAGGTTTATGAATAAAAATACACCTCTTAAAAGCATCAAGTTTAATTATAGTGAATATAAGTTTTTCATATTTGTTGACATACGGAGCTTCTTAAATAGAAGTGACACTTTTTCAGTTAAAGTTATATTTGAGATTGCCAAGACTACTGAATTGATATACCTAGCCATCTAAAGTATATTTCATAGAGTTATATTATTCTAATATTGTTGTATTCTGTCGTTGACGAATACATTTTTTAGTTGTACATCATGCCCAGAATAATGCAGGAACTACGAGGGTGCAAAAAAAAAAGTATTTAAATTATCATCAAATTTATCAACGGATGCATCAATCATATTCTATATTCTGAAATGCTGATCCTTTAATAAGCCGCCAAGAATTAACCTCAACGCATTAACTATTATCCATAATTTGAGATTTTTAGATCCAAATCACTGGGATGTATAAATTAACAGTAAATTGCTCTCTTTGGAGAGAATACAAGGCTCTTTACTTGAAAGAATGAAATTAAATCATATACTTCCATTTGTGTTTACAATTGTTTGTCGCGCTGCTCCAGCCTCTAGTTCATCTATTAGCGTAGATGTAACAGTTACAAAATATGTCGACAGTTCTTCTACTGCTTATGATTGGTCAGAAGATTGGATCAAAAATTTCCCAATCCATAAGTCATGTAATGACAGTCAGTTTAATCAATTGAGTAATGCTTTAGAAGAAACTCAAATTTTAGCTGCGCATGCCAGAGACCATACTGCAAGATTTGGAAACCTGTCTAAATTCTACCAAAAGTACTTTGGTGATGCTCCATCTGGGGAAGTTGTTGGTTGGTTCGAAAATATCGTTAATTCGGATAAAAGCAATACGTTATTTCGTTGTGATGATATAGATGATAACTGCAAACTAGATGGCTGGGCCGGTCACTGGAGAGGAGAAAATGCCTCAAATGAGAATGTTATTTGTGATTTATCGTATACATCTCGTCTTTATTTGTCTCAAATGTGCAGCCAAGGTTACACAGTTTCAAAGTCAAAGAATTCATTATTTTGGGCAGGTGATTTGTTGCATAGGATCTGGCATACTGATAGTATAGGTCAAGGTGTAGTGGGACATTATGCTGATACATATGATGAATGTTTAAAGTTGGCAAAAACAAATACCACTGAAGCTGTAAGAAATTCTGCCACATTGAGATATTATGCTTTAGATGTCTATGCATATGATATAGCCGTTCCTGGGAAAGGTTGTACCGGCGATGAAAATAAAGATTCAGAGGACAATAGTTCGTCTACGACAGACGCAAGTAAATCGTCTTCAGAGGCTGAAGAGGGAACCGAATGTCATACTCATTCAAATGGTGAAACACATTGTTCTTAATTTTGTTTAATTAAGTAGTTAATAAATTGAACTAATAGTAATCTGTAAAGTTTTATAATTATTTTGCCTTAAGGTAAATAGTAAAAATCATTCACAACATAAGTATTTCCAATTGAGGCATCTACATGTTGCCTCAATTGGAAATAATTTCCTGGCTAAGCCATGGATATTGTTCTCTAATACAAAAAAGAAGCTTCTACTACATTTCCCTAAAAAATGAAAGATGGAAAACTTCGTTACCTCGAACTATAGAAGGAAATTATCCATATTTGAAAAATAATATTACCTGGAAACGAAGTGATCCATTTCTTCTTGTTCGAAATTAGATATCTATTGTAATTTATTCATAGCTTTCGGTGACTACACTCCTAGCAAATTTTTTAGATTTCAAAACTCTATACGCTTATGCATATTCAAATAACGTAGAATACAAACCAAGATTCTCTTCTTATCCCTAATAGGCCAGTCCAATTTTGTATGACAGAAAATTCAAACAATTATGGTCTCGACTTGTTGTTCCAACTGGGTGGGTTACAGAAAGATCAGAGAGAATTGATAGTAAATCCATAATGTTTTGATTATCCTGTAAATTAAATAGTGTTATACAGGGTGCAATGAAGCATTATACGCTATTTGGTTTTGAATATTTTTCTACATAATGCAGTTACTTGCGAGATATAAACGCTACTTAATACATATTGTTCAGTAATGCTTTCCTATAGTGCGAATGAATATCTTCTTGGGTTCCTAATATCTTACCATTAAAACACGTTCATTGTACGACACAATATATATAAGACAAATTCCTTTAATTAGCTGGAGCTATTCCTAGATCTGTAATATACTCGTCAACTGTAAGATGCTTGTAACTTACACCTAAGCCTTTAGCAACTTCACTTCCTAATTCTTCATCTATCAAACCCCATAACTGAGGTACTCTTTCCTTTATTCTAGGAACACTTATTTTGGAGGCATGACCAACTATAGCCTCTATGAAATCTCCTTTATCTTTCTTACTTATGATATTTTTATAGAGGTTCCTTGGCTGTTCGATATCGAGTTCACTAAACCCAGATATATAATCGTAGGATTTGAGCCAAATTTTCTCTTCATGTGACCTCAAATTGCGTTCTTTCTGTAGTATTTCATATTTATCAGTGGATTGTTTCGGAACAACACCTAGATATTTCTTTTCTTCCACAGAAGGTAATCCGTTCTTACTCAACTTTTCATCATTCGATATTGAATTAATAGGCAATACCGAACTCAAGTAATTAGGCCTGGATCCCTGATTATCAATAGATGCAAACCCATCTCTTTGAAAATTACCTGCCAAAAATGAACATCCGGAATTACTATCAAATGTCCTTGGCTTGTTTACAGGTAATTGTTGATAATTAACACCTAGCCTATGACGGTGTGTATCGGAATAAGAATACAACCTAGATTGTAAAACTGGATCGTTCGAGGGCTCAATTCCAGGAACTAAGTGAGCAGGTGAAAAAGCAATCTGTTCTATTTCATCATGGTAATTAACAGGATTCGTATCTAAAACCATACGACCAAACTTTCTTAATGGAAATTCTCTGTGAGGCCATATCTTAGTTAAATCATTGATAGAATAACGAAATTCTTCGGCTTGTTTAGGTGTCATCGTTTGAATATAAAAAGAGTACGATGGATAATTACCAGTAGCAATTCTATCATATAAGTCCTTTGTGTTGTGTTCAGGAGAAGAACCAGCCAACTCTTTCCCCTCTTCATCACTAAGACCTTTAAATCCAGCATCAGCAATGCAATGTATCTGAATATAAGTAATTTCATCTTTACTGTTTATTAGCTTAAAGGTGTGACCTGAATATCCATTCATCTCTGCCCAACTTTTTGGAATACCTCTTTTACCAAACATATAAGTTATTTGATGCAAACATTCAGGATTATAAATGAAGTAATCCCAAGTATGGTAAGGGTCAGTTAACTGATTAAGGTTTGTAGATGGGTCTCTCTTCTGAGTGTGAATGAACTTGGAGAACTTTAATGGGTCTCTTATAAAGAAAACTGGTGTATTATTGAAAACCCAATCCATATTACCAACATCAGTTTTTAACTTAATTGCAAATCCCCTTGGATCTCTTATAGTATCTGGCGTTCCCCTTTCACCTCCAACTGTAGAAAATCTAACTGAAACAGGACATTTATAACCAGGGGATTGGAATGGAGTGGCATAAGTTAAGTCAGATAATGAATCAGTCAATTCGAAATAACCGTGGGCTCCACCTCCTTTAGCATGAACAACTCTTTCTGGGATTCGTTCATGGTCAAAATGGGAAATATCGTCCATCAAATTAAAATCTTGTAGTAATAACGGACCACCTGGGCCTGCAGTTTGAGCGCCATAGGGATGATTGGGATAAGGAACTCCATTGGAGGTTGCATACACCGCTGGCTCTCTTTCCGTTTTTTTAATATATTCTGAAACCATCTTTAAATTATATTAATATCGTAGTGCGTTCGAAAGCATGTTAGACTGATTTACATTTGCTTTTTATATGTTTCATTTTAGCAATGAAATATAGCAAGCTAATGTCTCGCCACGGCATATATTAGTATATATTAGTCAGATATTTGCTCACAGTTGCTGCATATTACTTAATTTACAGGCTTATGAATCTTTCGAGCGAACTTTGAAAGCATTATATTTTAAATTCAACAATCGTTATTGACTCGATTGTAATTCCTTAGATCAGCTAATAGCAGAATGATAAAAATGGATAATTACATTTCAATAGAGTATTGCCCCATCTGAATTCAAATTCAAGATATAAATTGACCTGTTTTGAAGTGATAGCTTGGTTTGTGAGTTAACAGCGTATGCTTAAAAAAAGTGACGTAATTATTATAATCTTTAATTTATAGCAATTGAAATTTATGCTTATAAATTGCTACAATATGATTCAAGAATACGAAGCCCGGTGGTCGGAACGAAGTCCGAACCAGTTGACAATGCCCTTTTTTTTGACTTCTTTGAGTTAAATTGTCTAATATAGGATTTGTGCAGGTATTCAGCGATAATTTTGATAGATTTTACTACATAAATACTGATAGAATATAGCTATATCTGAAAATTTTGTTGTTCCTCTTAAAGCATATTATAAAATAACTATGCAAGAATAAACTCAATTACTGTTTACCGGTCTATAAATGATCAACAAATTATAATTGTACAGGTGTGACGTAAAAATTGAACTTGATTGAAAGATCAGATTATTTCTTGATACAAGAATATTGAGAAAAAAATAGAGAATTATGGTAAATTGTATTTCTTTATAATTACTGTAAATGAGCCATTGAAAACTCAAATACAGTAAAAAATATCAGATTTACTATAAATGCCCGAGATAAATTAGCTATGATGCCTCTGTACACTCCTCTTTGTAGTATTTGAAAATTGTTTGTCTTCGATGGTAGAGGATTCGAACCATTTTCGATTCTGATAATGTTCGACATAACATTTTTTTGTACTAGAGACTTTAATGTATCCAAAGGAAATGCGACCAAACCTCCTAATACTCCTGCAATCCCTCCTGATACAAATATAGACGTTTTTGAAGAAATTTCTTGGAATGAATTCAATAAGAGCTTTGTTACCTCATATGTTGAATAATATATACCACCAGATAAAGTGTCCCTTAGAAAATGGTACTTAAAACCTGAATAAAGGCCACCAAGTCCCCTATATTTTACAGTCTTTTTTAATGTCTTAAGAATGGAGATGCCTTGTCTTGAATTCTGGATTTGGGAAGAAGTTGAACCATATGAGCAATCTTTCTGTACCAATTTTAAAATTTGGGACTGAATTTTTAAGGAATCGAAAGTACAAGTAAAAAATGAAATTATTCCTGCTGAAGCGGCACCTGAAAGAAAGCTTATCTGACCTTCAAGTATCACAGAATTTTTCTTTTCTAAGTATTGAACTGAATTGTATAATACTGGTTTTATTTTAAAAAATAGCAGTATAGTAAGAGATCTTGAAATAGCGTTTGCAAATAGAGGAATTTTAATTCCTCTGAAGAAACCACTCACCCCCTCAAATCTGTAAGTTTTCTTGATACAATCACCATAGCCTTTGAAATTATACTGAGATTGCATTCTAGTTTTAATAGCATCAATTGGAAATCCTATACTAGTACTTATAGATAAAGATGCATATGCTAAAATAGTTGCTTTCCAGGGAAGTAGAATATCTGGAAAGAGATGGATTTTTTCATTATGGGTTTCTTGTGTGTTTAATGATTGTGGAAAATTTTCCTTGTTTAATGTTTTATTGTTTATAATAGATGTCATATAGTTCCCACATTGATCCTCGATTGAATATTAAATTTAAATACAAGTAAACTAGGATCTCAGAATTGAGAAAAGATGCAACATTAGTTTACACTACAGTGAATGTTGATTCATAGTCATCATTAAGGCTACATACAGGATTAAATAGTTAAAAGTACCATATTATATTTAATGAAAATTTGTTTCTTCAACTTACCGCAAAAATAACACAATTTAATCATGATAATAGGATGATTGTTGAAATAATTTCAAGGTAGCTTCAGATTAAAATTTAATTGAAGATATAAAAGTATTACGATTCAACCTGTGACTCAAATGTCTGTCTACAAAATAATCATCAGTTTGAAGAGAAATATTTATATTAGTCAAGATATAATTTTCTCTCTTTTTTTTTTGGAAATTACTTTTTGAAGGAATGTTATAAGCATATGTAATTACCTTCAAATTTATAACTGTAATAAAAATGATGGGGTAAAATTGATTCGCTATTTGGTTGCTCACTCCACAAAGCTTTTATACTTCGAGCTCCGAATGAGAAACCTAAAAAAAAAACCTTAAATTGAAATCCACGTTATGGAAAATTTAAACCGATGCTTATTCCGGGTGTTTATACAATCAGTTGCACAATGCTGGTCTGACTATCGTGCTATGTGCATTCGTATGATATTTTGCGTCAATTTGACAATTCTTTTTCCTTTTTCACGACTTTAGATATATACTTCATGTCTTGTATTCATGAGATAGATAAAGATAACTAATTATAGAAACTTATATAGATCTATGATTGGACGACTCTTGAACAGCGTCCACACCAGTTCAAGGGCTCATTATTTATATCAAATTTCATCTAATAACTGGATTTCTAAGAGAGTGAATGAGTGTTTTTTGAACAGAATTGTGGCATTTGATTCTCCATTTAAAGGTATAAAATTTAAAAAAATAATACTCTCGCTCACTGTAACATTTTCCGGTTCGTCAAACGTATTGATAGCATTAATATCCTCATTATAAATAACACACCGATTAACATTAGGGTTAACGTTCTTTGGATCAACAGAAAGTGAGATTTTAGTTGTTGTGTCTTCTGTTAATGATCTGTTAACTACTGCCACAATAATGTTTTTATCATAAATTGCTGCCGAGCAGTCGAGCATACAAATATTGGAGTCAATGTCCTTGAGCCATTCAATATTCATATTACCTCCTCGAGTATCTCCCTTGTACAAAGGAGTTTTAACATGAAGATTCAAACTTTCTCCTCTCATCTTCTGAGAGAATAAGCGAAGTGGATGATATGTTGTCTGGAGGAAGAGCTTATCCTGTTTAGTCATAATTGGGGCTATAACATTGACACATTGAGCAATATTTGCCATCCCAATGTATTCTGCCTGACGTATAAACGTGTTTAACCACGAAGAAACAGCTAATGCATCACCCAATGTATATTTCTCTTCACAGCCTACTTCACCACCAGCTCTTACAGGATCCCAAACATTCCATTCATCAAAACAAATCTTTACTCGGTGTTGCTTAAATTTCAAATCCTCGGTAGCTGCAACACTATTAGATATTGAACTACTATAGTTTGTAATTTTTGCCAAATCAAGAAGTTTTGCCGTAATTTGAATTCCAGCTTCAGCAGCAGCTGGTCCGGTGATATTCTTCATTTGATCTTTACTATCACTAGTATACAAGTGTATAGAATGAAAATCAACATACCGAAATAATTTTTGAGTTATTTCGTAGTCCCATTTTGAGAATCCAGTACAGCCACAGCTCACTAGAATCACTGAAGGGTCAAGAAGTTTAATTGCCTTTGCCCACTGTATTGCCTTTTTACAGTAATCTTCTTCATTCATTTGCCCAACTTGCCATGGACCCCAAACCTCATTTCCTAAACTCCAGTATTTTACATTATACGGCTCGTCGCGCCCATTAATTCTACGCAAATTGGCCCAGTAAGTGTTCAGATTTGAATTACAATATTCTATCCATGCCAATGCTTCATCAAGAGTTCCTGTACCCATATTTAAACATAAATATGGTTCTATTTTCATCCAACCACACCAATGTAAAAACTCATCTGTGCCAAACAAATTCAGTTCCTCATTCAACCACGCCAATTCAGGTCGTCTTGGTCTTGACTCCTTTGGGCCTATACCATCTTGCCAGTGATAAGAGCTGACAAAGTTGCCTCCCGGCCAACGAATCACTGGAATATCAAGGGCTTTTAATGCTTTTGCAACATCTTTTCTGTAACCCTCTTTTGTTATTAAATCATTATCAGGATTGTCATAGTCAACAATTCCTCCATATATGCATCTTCCCAAGTGTTCAAGGAAGCCACTATAGATTTTTCGATCAATGGCGCCCATGCGGCGATGGGGATCAATTCGAATTTCTGATTGAGATAAGCTTTTAATTTCTTCAATTGTTTGTGCTGAATTTGACATGTTTAACACTCTTTAGCAAAAAAAATATGGTTCTTTCTGAAATGTATATTCAGTACTTAACCACTAACCTTATACCCTGACGGAAAAAATATCGGCTGCTTATCTACCGAAACCCACTTATCTTATTCCAAAGGGGAAATACTCCGGAGTGTACTGTCTCGGGGAAGGTGGATTTTTACGAGCGCGAAACCCTATATATATTCGAAGATTATTCAATTGATTGCAAAAATGCAAGTATTCATCATGATTATCAGTCCAGTTTTATACCAATTTTTGGTTTGTTGCTTTGCATCCGTAGGTTCATTTACTTACGGATATGACTTGGGCATAATTGCACAAGTTTTAGCCTCAGAGAGTTTCACAGAGTATATGAATAATCCAAACACTACAGTTACAGGTTTGGTTGTTTCCCTCTTCACTGTTGGAGCTTTTGCGGGAGCTTTTCTAGCTGGATTCTTGGAAAAATTGAGTCGTCGCCTGACTATTTTGGTTGCCACGTTATTCTTTCTTTTTGGGGGGTCACTTCAATGCGGAGCACAGAATTTTAGATTCTTGTTTGCTGGAAGGTTTTTTTCTGGGGTTGGAGTTGGATTGTATACTATGATTATTCCTTTGTATCAAGCGGAATTAGTTCACCCAAAACACAGAGGAAGGGTCACGAGCCTCCAACAGTTCTTCTTGGGTATCGGTGCATTAGCAGCTGCATGGATAGGATATGGATGCTACATAGGGTTTTCAGATAACAGGCAATGGAGAGTGCCTCTTGGTCTCCAAATGGTTCCAGCATTATTACTAGGAAGTTTAATATTGCTCTTCCCTGAGCTGCCTAGATGGTTGTTAGAGTTTAACCAAGATGAAAATGCACTAAAAGTTTTGGGGCAACTATATGCCCATGGTGACACACAAGATCCGTTTGTAAAGGAAGAATTTGCGAAAATTAAAGCTGCCATTGAATTTGATAAAATGCATGGCCAAACGAGTTGGACCAGCTTGTTCTTGATTCCTTCAAATTTGAGAAGAATCGTATTGTGCTGCGCAATTCAAGGTTCGGTCCAAATGACAGGAGTATCTGCAATTCAATACTATGCACCGACTATTTTTGCCCAAATAGGATTATCGGCGGGTAAAACTCTTTTATATCAGGCAATAAATTCTATTATTGCTTTAATAGCACAGGCCTTATGTATCGTTACCGTCGATTACACAGGAAGAAGGTGGACTTTAATTGGTGCAAATATTGGCTGCGGGTGCATGTTCATTGTCTCTTGTATTCTTTTGGCACTTTATCCACCTTACAAGGGGCCCCAACCCCGTTCGTCTCAGATAGGATTTATTGCATCGACTTGGATTTGGAATTTTATTTTCAGTATTTATGTTGGCCCTTTACTGTGGGTTATACCCAGTGAGGTATTTAATACTGCGACTCGTTCCAAAGGTGTATCTTTATCAACAATGACATGCTTTGCTATGAACACAATGATTGGACAAGTAACACCATTAGCAATGGATACAATCCACTACCGATTCTATATTGTTTTCATTATTTGCAGTTTTACTAATGCTTTATTTTTCTGGTGCTTACTTCCTGAAACAAAGGGGATACCGCTAGAATCAATGAATCAATTGTTTGAAAATTCACCATGGTTTGTTCCAGGAATTAAGAGTAAAGACTATTATTCCGATATTGAAATTATTCTTGATGATTCTGAATTCAAACCTGAAAATGATGTTCAACATCTTGAAAAGGACAATGATGTTTCTATAAATATTTCTTCTCAATCAAACGTTTGATACGAATATAAATCATTTTATTCTATTTCAAATATAGTCAAATTGCTAATAGTGCAACTCTTGTTAAAAATAGTTCTATATTAGCAAGTAATTCGTAGGTCTGCTCATCAGAAATCACTCGAATTGTATTTTTACACATTGCGATCCTACGACCACTATCATAAGATGAAAGGGCAAACCTACAAATAAAGAGTCCTATAAGTAGTTTTAAATTATAAATAAAGGTTAAATAATGCCAACCAAACAAGCAATGACTTGGTAATATTGATCTCTTTGACTCGCGTACCTTGAAAGTGAGACGAGTATAAAACTACCATTACCCATAAAACCGATGCAACGGCCGTCCAAAAGCAAAATATTTTTGTTGGTTGTTTTTTTGGTTCTTTTAATCATATTATTCATTAATAAAACCTTTTGGTATATAAAAGCAATATACGACAATCAATAACCTTGACATGATAAATAATACCACCTTTAAGATATAAAATATGAGCTATTAATAATTCATTGATTCCGAATAAGTCTCTGAGATGCCATATGCATGTATCATATCTTCAATCAGGTAAAATCTGAATATTGCTGTTGTTTTGCAACATTTAGATCTTTGTTGAAAGCCCGCTGTTCGAACGCAAGGAGTACCATTGCTATACCGATCGTAGTAATAGCCAAATTATTATGTGCTTCTTTAGTTGCCAATAAACATATACTAATAATAAGAGCAGATAATATTGATATGGTAATTAATGTTCGTTCGATCATTGAGAAAATATCAAATATATATATATCGAATACCGAACATAGTACTTTGAAATCTAATAATTGATATTGTGAAAGAGTGATTGGGTCGTGTGAATCCTATTTTCTTGAAGAATACTTGGATATACTCACCCACAAGTAAGCCATATAATATTGTTAAATTTAATTAATATATGAATCTAAACAAATCTCTACTTTTTTTCCCTTTTCTCAGCCAACTCTTGCCACCTTTGTGCCTCCATCTGCCACCACTTAGCTTCCATTTTCGTAGTATTAAGGTCTTGTTCAAGTTCTTTCACCTTTTTATCGAGTATTTCAACTTCCTTTTGTCTTCTCTCTCGATAGCGTCTCGCAGCTATAGTATTTCGCACCCGCTTTGTTTCACATGTACCTTCCAGTTGCAAATTCTTGGTGGAACTACGCCGCTTCCGTTTCTCAAGGCGTTTTCTTACTCCATCGATGTCTTCAAGACATGAACTAGAATCATTTGACCGATGACACTGCCCTGATAAAACTTCGTTAGATTGGTCTATCCATATTAACTCTTTCTGTGATCCAATACTATTGGATTCAGGCTCATCTTCTAATATGGATGAGGAAGTTGATGATATTTTACCGTCATATGGAAACACGTTAGTTTCAAAATTTGTATGTACCGATGTTTCTTTAGGATTTGAATCTTGGTGAAGAGGGGTTTCTCCCTCCTTGAATATCTCTTCAGACGGCCAACTATAGTTAGATGATGACTCGAGTGACAATTCACTGGGTAATTTAGGGGTGTAAGTTTGATTGTGTAGTTCTTCAGTAGAGCCGAGGGCAGATCCAAAGAATGAAGGACATTCTTGGGATGAAAGCTGAAACAAATTCGTTAGCTCCCATGTTAAGTCTGAAATAGAAGTGTTCTTAGTTGTACGCGCCGAAAATACTACAAGTACCGACGCTTAGATACTTTTCTGGAGAAAAAAATAAATTGTGTTACAAGAAGCTCCAGATTCGATCCTTAAATATTCCTAAAGATACGAAAGAAGCTGCATAGTATTCCGTTTTGAGAAAAATGAGTCATTATTGCTCACATATATTTGAGATATACTTTACACCGTAAATTTGCTTAAAAGCGTAAATTTGGGAACTCAGAAGTATTTTTGGTTCACATAACAATTCGAACGATGTCAGTATCTCTTCCAGTAGTTAAGATCATCATAGTCCCCAGTGAGCGGAGTTACGCCTTAAAAACCTAGAGATATTGCTTATTTTATATAAAACATCCACTTTCACTTTGATTGACGTAGCTAATAGTGATTTTGAATTACTCATTAGAATCATAGAAATATCATATTTTGTCATAGTGCGAAAATGGAAATGTTGCATATGTAGAAATGTAAATTCCAATTCTGTCACTGGAATAGTCCTATTGGATAAATCCGGAACAACATTTAACTGTTCTATATTATGTTTGTCATTGACCCCATTTTTTGATTATGATACTATTTCATATATGGTATAATAATTTCCTTCGTTAACCAATAATAAATTGCTAGTCCGAATAGTGCATTTCCAAAAATTACCTAAAAACAGATTAATTTAAAATAATAATCTGCTGTTAAAAGAGCATTACTAAACTTAAAGGTTTAAGGAATCCAAGAAAAGGAATTTTAGCAATGCAATCTTTGCTTAAGATTGCTGATTATAAAACATCTGAGCTGAAAACATAATAGGATAATGCAGCTTTTCGCTATTTGTAACATTGATGTGCATCAAGCAATGCTAAATAATTAACTACTAACATATATATATATCCTTATTTGAATTGATTATTTAATATCATTTGTAGTTAAGACAATTTTGTTCTAAAAAAATATCGACATGGGGAATTCAACAGATTTTAAAGGGGAATTTACAATTTATCCTCCGCTTACGAATGAACAGATTCAAAATGCAACAGATTGTTTTGAGGGTTCAAAGTCACATATGTATTTACAACACAGAAATGCTGAATTTCTTGATTACCATGGGGACATGAATTGGGAAGGTAGCTGGTCCGTTTCTCCTTCTGGGGATAAAATATACTTCAATCCAATGGACAGGCTCTACGAGGGGAAAGGCTATTTAAAGTACTTAATAGAGCATGCAATAAGGTCAACTCATTCCACTGTAAATGGTGAGATGATTTTTCTTAATGAATATGGTTCTTTTGGAATATTAGGTGTTGAAAATAATGAAGTATATGTTATTGGTTATTTAAAGGAAAATGACTTACCACTTTGTGTAGAAGCACGAGAAAAGGCCATCATGCTGAAATCCTACTCATATAGTATCAACATAAACCAGATCCCTAAAGATTTTAGCAGCAACCTGTTGATACCAGCAATTTTCAGGTACGATATAGCGCTGAAACTCACGAGGAACACAGAATTCGTCGGATCGTTTAATGTCGAAAAAATATTCAATTTTGAAAAGTATTTGATGACGAAAAGTCCTAAAGAGGAATATATCGACAGCAAGGTTGATGAAGAGCTAAAAAAACATTCTGAGTGTTATAAAGATATTCCCGGATTTCTAGCTGAAAAAGAAGAGCGCATACGTCAAAATATTGAGAGCAAGTATCCATATATTGCAGAGCATAATATAGATGGTACAGTTGGTGATAAATCAACTAAGAATGAATGGATACTCTCCGATGATCAACAAAACCTCGAATGGTCAGGTAAAAAATTTATAGCTCCTCTTCACTGGCTAGTATTTTTAAGCTTCCTGTGCTTTGATGTTCGGGGTTCAATCAAATGGGTAAATGAACTAAATGAACTGGGGTTGATAACAGTAGAAAGAATTGAAAATCTGAATTATGGTAACAAAAACTTCGTATTCATAGAATTTAATGGAAAAAAATATTTGGCCAATATCTCATGGAGCTATTAATATTCAACCAGTTTTCTCAAGGGGTATTAAATGATGGGCAGATATGCTGTTTTCGTATATAATCAACTTAATAACTTGAAACATAGTATAAACTTCTACCAATTTAGTACATGATTCTTCTTTACTCTTTGACAACTATACTAGCAGATCCCATACCTGAACCAATACACATTGAGGTTAAACCTATTTCACCTGGCTTCAATAATCTCAAAATAGTTGCATATTGTCTGGCCCCTGTTACACCTACTGGATGACCCAAGGCAATGGCCCCTCCGTTGATATTCACTTTTTCTTTTGGTATTTTGCATGCATTAATCGAATACAAGCATTGGGCTGCAAAGGCTTCGTTAACTTCAAAGGCTGCAATATCATTTACGGTTAAATTTGTTTTCTTAAGAATATGAGGAATAGCTATTGCTGGACCAACTCCCATAATTTCTGGAGGAACCCCGACAGATACACATCTTATAAATTTACCCTCGATCTTAAAACCATTCTTCTCAGCAAAAGAACGCCTCATAAGTAAAACAGCCGCTGCTCCATCACTAACTTGAGAAGAGTTACCTGCATGGGTCAGACCATCTTTCTTAAATACTGGGGGTAATTTACTCAAGGATTCTGCAGTTATTCCTTTACGAATACCTTCATCTTTATCGACTATTACTCTCTTGAAGTAAAAATCCCCTTGCGCATCCTTTTCTTCAATTAAAGATTCAATAGGTAGTATCTCATCAGCAAATAGGCCCGATTCCAGAGCAAGCTCAGCTTTTTGGAAAGACTCAGCTGCAAACTCATCTTGTTCTCTACGTGAGACATTATATTTGTCAGCTATATTCTCATTTGTAATGCCCATGGAAATTTTAGATTTCATCATTTCTGTATGATTTTCGAGGGCTTTAGACACGACTGCTTGTCCCAAGGCAAAGTCCTTGGTCATGGATTCCACACCAACAGCTAAACCGCAATCAATTTCTCCTGCTATGATTTTATTAGCTATATCACCTATAGCAATCAAACCAGACCCACATTGTCTGTTTACGGCTATAATAGGAGTAGTATATGGAATACCGGCACTGATCGCAGCTGCTCTATGTTCACAGATACCAGAGCGGACCTTAAGGACATTTCCACAAGCAATGTCCTCAATCAAGCTAGGATCAACTCCTGTCTTGGCGAGAAATGCTTCTAAGAACTTAAGCAATATATAATCACTACCAACGTCTTTGAAACTTCCTTTATATCCTTTGCCAATTGCGGTTCGATATGATGCAACAATTACCACATCATCCGGATTTTTCGAAAGTATGGGTTTAGTTGTAGATTGTGATAAATGCCCCGAAACTTGATTCAACCTATCCATTATCTTTTTCTTCACCTTTTCTCAATTTCTCTAAGGTTAGAATTACTACTTAGCTTCCGACGTAAAAATCCTTATTTTATAGTTTTGTAGAAAAGTGGGGTAAATTAGTTTCATGTGCGATTTTCATTTGATTCTCCAAACTAATTACATTTTACAGCTGTACTTAAACAAAGATTAATTGATCTGATTTTGTAGATAATTATATATTGATTCTCTATCTATTAGTATAGCAAGTCAATTATTCGAAGGTGTTTTCAGAACAAAGATTCAAGTTCACTTTTAAGAGAAGCCGCCTTCAGTTCAAAAGAACCTTTAGCAGAACCAACCTTCTCCCAAAAATTATCTTCAACTGCAGCAACACGCAGGATGACCGCTTTTTCAGCAGAGATAATTTTCAGTTTGCCTGCGTTTTCAGCAGATGTGACCGCCAGTTGAGCTGATTGCTTAAGAGATGCAGCCTTCAGTTCCAAAGATGATTCGATCGACGCAATTTCCAGAGAGGTGGCACCCTTAGCCGAAGCAATAGCCTGTTGAACAGCAGATTCTAGTTCCTCTGCTTTCAGTTGTAAGTCTTCTTGAACACAAGCAATTTCATCATCTCCATCTTGTTCAGCATTTGAAACTGCTTGCTGAGCAGCAGTTTTAAGAGAGGCAGCTTCCAGCTGAGCAGCAGCGACTATAGATGAAAATTTCAGCAGCGCAGCCAGTTCAACTGAGCTAGCAGCATTTCCAGCAGCACTTTTAGCAGATGATACACCATTTGAAAGAGCATTTTTGGCAGATTGTAATGCGGATGCCTTAAGGGCAGCTGCTTTCAGTTCTAAAGCTTTTTCAATACTGGCAAGATTTCTTGGAGCAACGGCTTCGGAAGCTTTGGTGGCTTCTATTGGAGCCGCTATTGCGACTGTAATCAAATAGGTGTAACAAATGGCGTTGGTAAATTTCATTCTTTTTTCGCTGTATGGTACGTGTTTTTCAAGTTCAGTGAATTGTAGAATATTTCTTTGGTATTTATAGAAATAGCTCTGCAATTATACTTTAGAACATGTGCACATAGTTAATAATATTTTATGAACAATTGACAAATACGGAGTGGAACTTGCTTTAGTTTGACATATTCATTATTCTTCAACAATTATTTTTTAATTGGCAGGTCGATTTAAGGAAATGATTATTGAAAATTACGAGTAGAATAAATTCGATCCAAAAAAATTTCCTGATACGGTAATTGGCATCATTTAATTTAGGGAGAGGTTTCAATCTTTATTGTCCGCGGCGTATTTATTAGAGTTACTGGGACGAACAAAGAAAACCTATTATTACTAAAATAAGCATTTTAATTGGAATTATGGTTTTTAATGACAAAAAATATTTCTTTCTAAGAAGTGTTTCATGTTTCAATTAAATCGAAGTTTTATTTTTTGTAAAGGAGCTTAATAATTTTATCTTTCCGGAAATGAAAAAAGAACTGCCTTCAATTTACGTTTTTTACACTCGAGGAATTTTGCAAAAGGTACTTGTTTTATCAATAGCTCAGTTTTCTATACAATGAAAGAATATTTAGCATTAACTTTCAATCTTGCAAAATAGCCAACTGCTGGAATAGTTACTATTGAGCATCATATCGCAAGATTACGCTATCCATTTTTGAATGGCACGCGCAAGGAATGCCACATTATCGACATTCTTTTTCCCCGAATGCACTCGGGGTGCATGTGATGGAGATATTTTTTAGACCCGCTCTCTTACGAGATTTTTATCATCGCTACAGTAACAATTTTAATTTGTATTCCTAGGATCCGCTAAAATTCAGATCCAATAAATTATGGCCGGGTTTCGAAGGATTAACCAGTAATTATATTTGATCAATTACATTGATGAAAATCTTTTTCATTAGTACCTATAATTCCTCGAAGATTTTCAATTAAGGAGGAATTACAGTTCAGATGCAAATGTGATTCTAGAATCCGGTGTAAGACGGGAAATCAAGATACCTGATAAGAGAACAGAATTAAATTCAATAGTTCATTAGGGTCTTTCTATTATATTCGTTTTACAATACTATTCTTAGTAGATTATAAACAAGTTCGTTATTCAAATTAATATAGATATTATTCTTAAACTTCGGTATAAGTAGGTTGTTCCTATAAATTAGCAGAAAATTTTAATCAAGTCTGCTTCAACTCTGTATATTAGAACCAGCTAGATCAGTGAACCTCTTAAAAAACAAAAACAATTAACCATACAACAAAACTAATAAACAATATGATTATATTAGATTTAAATCTAATTTATTAAATAATATAATATGTAGTAAAGATTTTTATTAGAATATTCACGTCCGATAAAAGTGATTATTTTTGAATCGCTCCTGAAATCAAACCCGATAAGAATTCTGAGATAATTGCGAAATCCATTTTCTGATTTCCGATGAGTCTCCCACAAAAAGCCTGCTTCCGAAATCGGATTATCAATTGTATTTCAATCATTACAAACGCAGAAATTGAAATAAACATGAAGATAAATACAATATCTTCTAGATTAATCAAAGTTGCTTACGCAATTAATCATGTATTATGCTATCCCGTGATGGAAGATTCAATTTCTGTTTCTAATAGTCAGAAGCCGCTCAATATAAATGTGATACCTAATGTTGAGCATGGAGCTAGAGTAGCTAGAACATTGGTGTCTAGAGAATCTCTTGTCAATGTAAATACTTTGAAAACAGTTAAACATGGAGATGAACATATGAAAATCCCTGATTCATCGATGGAATATTATGCAGATTGTGATGGTAACGGAGATCCTTATTGGCTTGTGGTAGATATTGGATCAACTTTCCAAAATATTGAAGAGGGGTCAGATTACACGTTTACGATTAGAGTAGGCGATCATCCTTCAAATGAAGAAGTAGATACATCTTATCCTGGTAGTATCAAACATTCTCCTGCTGGATCGCCTAGAATTAATTTGATGGGAAAGTTGGAAAATGTAACTTTTGAAAATCCAATTGATCAACTTAAACTTGAAGCTTGTTTCTTGAAGAGACACCCAGATGCAAAAGCTTGGCTACCACGGAACAAAATTACTCCTCATAAGTCACACTGGGCTAAGCTTGTTGTTGATGAGGTTTATATGATTGGTGGATTTGGTAATTTGGCGTATATTGGCACAATTGAGGGCGCTATTTACCATGAAGCGAAACTAATCAAGTCGAATACGGTGAATACCGCTCATATTAATTTGCTCTAGCGATCAGAACCCTTTTGTTCATATATTCAATACACAAGCATGGGAATATAATTGACTAAAAATAATAAGATAATGTTAACAACTGCATAAACTAACTGAGATGAACGATTTACAAGTCTATAGTATTTATGAATTGTGAGTATCATAATTCTTCAAATTGACGGATTTGTAAAGTACATTTATAAAAGGGATATCAAATCATTATTATCTTGCATAGCGAAGATATATTGCTTGTCCTAAGTTCGTAATGATTATTGATCGCGTAAAGGAAACTTTCCCCATAATTATACTACTCTCAATTGTAGCTGAAGAGAAACGAAAAGGCTTTTTAAAGATGTTTTTATTTAATTTGATGTAACAGAGCTTCTCATGGTGCTGTTATCTTAACATTTATTGCGAAATAGTAGACAGTGCTAGTTTTTATTTGGCTAGTAGTTGTAGCTGTAGCAAGATCTTGAAAGAAAAAAAAGTTGGCTACTTCATATAAGAATATTTCAACAGATCATAACCTTCTATTCAAATAGTGCCTATTACTAAAGAAATAAAATCATCTCCACAGGGTTTAACGGCTTCAAGTTTCCATCCAGCAGCTTCATATAGCTTCTTGAATTCAGATTCTGTTCTTTGGCGACCGCAACACATGAGCATCATTTGGATATCCAATACTTTGGAAAGGCTCGGAACATTTGGCTCCAGGATTACAGCTTCACAAGCAATGAATTTAGCACCAGGATTTGCGACTGCCTTAGCCAGTCTTAAAATTTCTATGCACTTATCATCTGGCCAGTCATGAAGAATATGCTTTACAAAATAGACATCTGCAGGGACAGCCTTCTTGAACATGTCAACCTCTGCAAAAGAAAGATTTTTCAGCAATGCGGCATCTTTGCCATTCGATTTGACATCATTAATGACCGTTGCAGTATCGCTAACAATCCCTTTAACACCAGGCTTGCCTACCGAATTTAAAACCACATCGAGAAAATATCCGCTACTGCCCCCAATGTCACAAATAACACCACTCTTGTCTAAATAATTTCCTTCTTTCAAAACGTTGACAATACCCTCAATTTCCTTGTAAGAAATAGAATCCATTGCATTTCCAAAAATGGTGGCATATTTTGGATTTTCATCCATATAATCAAAAATTGGTTTTCCAAATTCAATCTCAAAAGCAGTTTTTTTGGGACCTTCCTTAACAAAGTCTGGTAGATGTTTCCAACAAACAAGATGCTCTAAACTTTCCTCGAATAAAAAGAGTCCTCTTAACGACATTGGGTGATCTTTGCGTAAAATTGAACCGTCTTCATTTAATAGAAACTTATATTCTTCATTTTCTTCTACTAAGCCTATTAATGATAGTGCCCGAAGGAGCCTATAAAGTGTATCTGTATGTACCTTAATTTCACGGGACACCTCCTCAGCCAGTTTTGGTTCCGTCGTAGATAATTTCTCAAATACTCCCAAGTAAACACCTGTATACGTTATTCGAGAAAACCATTTCCCCATAACTAGTTTAAATACACCTGGTACACCAAGTCCTGTCATTATCGCTTCTTAATAAAATGATTAAAAATGTTGAAGGAAAATTGCAACTATATCCTATTTATATATAAACAAACTCCTCTAGTTTCGCACGTTTCAGATGGATAGGTAAACATACTATTGTCCATGAAACTGACATAAATCATAACAAAGGGATCGCACTTGCATTGTTGTTCAAGCATTTTAGCATCGCTGATCAAAATAAAAATGGGTTTGTAAACATTCCCAAATATATGCAAATTCAATATATCATTTACCTTTAACCTTACACGAGCACGATATACCTCCTGCTTAAGTGAACTCGGCAGTCTTTAACTTGCAATCAAGGCGACAAAGATATTATCATATCGCTGTAGTTACTAGAATTCAGAACGTCCACAAATTTTGCTCATAATGTTTGTAATACAGACGATAATGAACCCTGAAATAAAATCTTTCGTACTGAGAGTGACATTAAAAATCGACAAATAATATCATAACTTTACCGAAACATTAGGGTGAATACTACTGGTTGATTTCTCAAGGTTTAATTATACAGAATATAAAAAAGAAAATCAATTTAATATAGTATAGTTTAAGAAATTTAAACTATTGGAACTCAATTATTACGCCAAAAAGAACATTTAAAAACCAACAGAGACTGTGGATTAATAATTGCATCAGAATTCTTCTGATCTCAATCCAAAATATCCATCTGGGGCAGTAGTTGGATCCAATAAACTAACTTGGCCCATTCCTCCGTCAGTACCGGCATATGACACCGAATTTCCCCACCAATTTATATCCTTTTCATGATATTGAACTGCAAAGAAGATAATGATACCACTGAAGGCAACACCAGCATCAAGAGAAGACGATAAAATATAATTATATTTCTCCCACCATGCACTAAATCTTTTCTTAATATAGTGGTTGAAGGCATAACATACATAAAGACCAGGAAGAAAATAACTTAAATTGTAAGGTGCGTAATTGAAGAGCCCTCCAATAATAACTGCTGGTTGAAACCAACGGGTTTGTTTGTAAAAGTAATGTCTAATAGCGAGACATAGAAGTGCAAGTAGGAAGCCAATAAGGAAACAATATGGCAATATTGGATATAATTTATTAAATATTCTTTTTGGGCCAATAACACCCCAAAATACCGAAGAAGAATAATAGGAAACCTCACTAGGACAAGTGAAATTATTCGACTGTTCATCAGTACATATTCCATCAATATTAGAGATTTCCCAATTTATTACGAGCAAGGAGACAATTATTTGGAAAATTGTCCCTAATAGTTGACCACGAAAAACTGCCCTTGGAGGAACTTTTGCGTAATGTGCCATTTTTTGATCATAAACGTACTGTTGAGCTTGGCCAGTAATATTGAAACCCAAAGCTTTCAAAAACATTAAAGCATCACCATTTCCTGGCAATGCATAACCTACAATCAATTCAACTAGAACCTCAAGAGTAAAATAGTATCCTGTGACAGCATAAATTATACATAATGGAATCACAAATACGGCGTTTATAGCAAGGACTAAAAAGATGCCCCAAACGGGTGTGTTGGCAGGATAAACTTTCACACACACAATTGCAAAGACGAGAGCAACCAACATGATCACTAAAAAACACCAATCTGGAACTTCTTTGTAACGAGACATCATTCGAGAATGTGGATCTTTGAACCGTGTATAGTTTGACGATCTGAAATCGGTAATCAGTTCCTTCAATGATTTGATTGATCTCCAAATACCTTTGCGTTCAGTAAAGAAAACGTATGGAATCATGAAAGTATAAAGCGCACAATTAGCACCATAAACCACTAGGTTAGCTGCTGATAAATACGGTGGACCGTACTTTTTATATTTATCTTCGTCAAGCCTCCCATTCGTAAGCACACTTTGAACCTCATAAATTTGTCCGGTATTGGTATAAATATTGTTATCGTTAATTGGAAGATAAGCAGTCCATTTATAGTTGCTATAGTAAAGGCCAATAATCACGAAAAATCCAATGATCATTCCTATCATCATATTTAGATATGTATAGAATGGAAATGCCAACGGGAGCCAATAACCTATAATGTTCCAATCAAAACTTGAAATTGGATTTAACCCAAGACCTTGAATAGATCCGGTAACTGTGGCTAGATTGAAGTTGTCAGGTTTGATCCAAGTCATCCAGTTAAAATATGACAATGCTTGAAATAAATAGTCAGGAATCCACATGTATAAAAACGAACAAGTGAACACGATGAAGAAGAATTTGTACCGGGTGATTGTCCAGCCATGAATACTTTCTTTCTTTTCTTTCTTCAATAACGCTCGATTAAGAGCAAGAGTTGGTAGAATAGTTGGCCAAACAGCACGAACTGGGTAAATGACGATTTTACGAAGAATACCTGCGAATCCAAAGCCAAATAATTGTGTGCATAGAGATAGCAAAATTTGATAGCCTGCTGTAATCCAAGTATTACCATAGAAAACATTTAGCTTTTCAACATAAAAGTTGTAACCCACATACATACCACCAATTGCAATGTCAAACATAACAGTGGCAAACATCTGTTCTTTATAAGTCCAAGGTCCCGGGTTGAGAGAATGCCTCGTTCCAAATAAGGTAAATCCCCAATCTGGTAAAATATATTGAAGAGCTATTCCGGATGGATACATTAGCATCTGACAAACTGAAGCAGATAAATAAATGGAAGGTTGTCTACGAGAAAAAAGTTCATTAACCCCAGTGCCAATAATACACCATACAAATCCTAAAATATAAGCACGTATAGTCTCACAAGGTATATTTGGATCATCCATGGGCGATGAAATTGCTCGGACTTCTGGGTATGGTGAATGATACTCATTTAAAGCGGCGTACATCTTGGCGCTAAAACTCCAGTCATTAAAGCTCATATTCAAGTCATTATTATAACCTTTCAGAATTTTTTTTATAAACTCAAAATCATCGTATGGGAAATTTGGATCATCATCATGGTCTTGAATACATTGTTGTAAAATTTCAAGGGCCCTTGATAAAGATAGCTCATCAGTTTTTTGATAAAGATACTCTATCTCAGGAATCCTGGCATCATCAGTGAGAACATCAGCGTGACCCAACTTTTCATAAAGTTTCTGTTTATAGTCTTCATGAAGAGCATCAGATTCATCTTTTGAATTGACTTGTATGAACTCTCTTTTACTATCAAGCTCCTTTTCTGACATTTTGCGACTAGAATTTAGACCTTTTAAGAAACAATGATACAGCCATATTTAAATCAAAAAAATATGCATATATTTCGTCTTGACGTTCTGTCAAATACGAGAAAGAGATTGTGATTTACAATAGTAACCCGATCGCGATATCGGGAAATCAATTATTAGCCACTAATAATAATCCAGATAGCCTTTTTTATTCTCTATTCGGCAAAATCCGCATATAGGCACCGTTCCGTAGAAACGATCCGGCCTGCCACATAAGAAAGTTGCAGTCAATTTTTATGTTTTGCATTGGGAATGTTTTTTCGCTTTGGTTTCCAATTAAAATTGATTCGAAAAGTTTGATGGGTTGTTTTAATTTACTATCTTGTATTACTGAGCTATAATTTAATTTATCCGAGCGATACTTTGTTTAGTAGTTACACTAGAACGAATTTAGTAAACATCAAAAATTAGTTAGTTGGAATTTGTTGGAACTATACGTCAAGTCAGTTTCTAGGAAACACTGACAGAAATGGTTACGAGACAAGATAAATTTTAAGCTTGTTCAAATGGTGTAATTTGGAATGATTACTAAAAAATTTTGAGGCTGAAAAAACGAAATTAATGGATTTAGAACCTCTTCCTCTTTGTGGCTAAAAACAAACACGCTACTTTTTGCATTTAGGATGGTATTTTCAATATCATTTTGGCATACTCTGGAAAGCTTGATGACGCATTGGTTTTGCTCGACAAATTCACACATGCTATTAAAATTATAATCATAATATTTAAATCCGATTGCCGTGTATCGTTGCTGTTAGATTGTGGTTTTTCGTAAATTAAAGATTTAGTCGCCCTGCAATGATTATCAGACAAAGCGTACTTACGTAATATACATAGAATTGATTTATGTACCTAGTTATGCAATATATGTCTCTTTGTCAAGTGGAGACCAAGGGAAAATAAAAGTTGTCATTTCTAGGCAATTATTACCAGTCAGAATTAGTTATTCTCCATGACATCTTATTTTTAATTTGTGAAAGCAAATTTTACTTTGAGGAATATGAAAAACATTTCCACTCCGTATACCTCTCTCTTTAATTTTAGCGACAGGCCGTGCAATGCGCCAAAACATTTGAATTTTTTTTAAAGGCGGGTAAAACATGCATAATCTGATAAAAATGACTTTTAAAGTTCACAACGATAGATCTTATGTAATCTTTGCAGATTATCTGATCAATCTATTTCTACAGTTTAAGAATTCATAAATAAGTTCTTGTTCTACATTGTATAATGATTATAAGTGTTCTCAGATATTTTTATAAAAAAGATATGAGCTTTCATTTTCATGGTTGTATAAGCTATTATATTCTACTTCATAATTCATAATTTTTATATTCTTATCATAAGATTGATTACTTTTCCTAACTCTTATTACACTCTAGGGTTCACAATAATACATTAAGTTTTTTTTTGAATTGTATATTGCCATGCCAAGATTTAAATATGAAAGACTCTACTTTTTATGTTAATCCTGTATTTGACCTGCAGATATCATATGTTGTATCAAGAAAAATTGAGTGCGGAAATCTTAGATCTGTTACGAAGCATATCAGATTAATCTTAGCTCTTACAAAAGGTGCCTTTACATAACATCACAATTTTCATTGATCTTCAAGTATAACATTTTTGAAATGTAATACATAATTGAATATAAATAAGACAAAATAATTATATATTCGAATTTGAGTCAAAATTAAGTAATTTATTAATTCATTTCAAAATGGTTGAAGATTACGACTCTAAGAAAATAGGTATAAACGAAGAAAACACATTACGAAATAAAGAAGATAGAGATTTGATAGAAGACGACCAATACGAAAAGTCATCAGGAATTCAAACTCAAAATGAACCACATGTTCGTCCAATGAGAGGTGTTCAGCTTATAGAGAATGTTAAAGCAGCAATGGATGATTCAAGAAGAGGTAAGATTGTGAAAGCAATTTACGGAACCTCTATTCTTATCTGTGCTTGGGCTGCTTCTCTAGACTCTTCCACTACTTACAGTTTACAGCCTCTAGCAACATCTTCTTTTGGAGCTCATTCAAGTTTGGCTACTATAAATATTGCTAATGGAATCATCGGTGCGGTAAGTAACCCTATATTAGCAAAGTTTTCTGACTTGATTTCTAGAACTTTTATTTATATCATTTCAGTATTTTTTTACACTATTGGCTATATTATCGCAGCTTCAAGTCAAACAGCTACCGCCTTCATTGTTGGGTTAGGGTTAGCTACTGTTGGTAAAACTGGTGTGAATTTTGTAAATTCCCTTATCGTCATAGATTTTACACCTTTAAAATGGAGGGGATTTGTCACTTCAATTTTGGCAGCACCTTTCATAATTAATTGTTGGTTCGCCGGTTTGATCGTTGGCGATTTGCAAGTGTCTAACTGGAAATGGGGTTACGGGATGTTTGCTATAATTATTCCAGTTGTTTTGTCACCAGCAATAATGGTTATGACTTATTTTGATAAAAAAGTCACTCCTACTGATAGTTTTTCGTCTGGTAAGGCTGACACAAAGAAAGAGACACTTCACAATATTCTTTCAGTTATCAAGCTAGGATTAATAGAAGTAGATGCATTTGGTTTGTTGTTATTAGGTTTCGGATTTGCGCTACTATTATTACCTTTTTCTCTTGCTGGCTCAGCTGATGATGGCTGGAAAAACCCTAGTTTAATTGCAATGATGATTGTGGGTGGTTTGTTGATAATAGTATTTTTTACATACGAAATTTATTATGCACCGTTTCCTGCAATGCCAAAAAGAATTTTGAATGTAACACTGGTTATGTCCATTATAATTGATTTTTTCTATTATTTTGCTGGGTATATCGGATTGCTTTATTTTTCATCCTATGTTTTCGTTGTCAAAGATTGGAGTTATAAAAACTGGACGTATTTTAACAATGCTCTTACACTTGCTTTGTGTATATTTGGTGTCATTGCAGGAGTTTTATTTAGGATCACTCGTAGGTATAAAATATGGCAATTAGTAGGGCTTGGAATGAGAATTATTTCTTATGGAATATTAATACAAGGTAAAGGCTCCACTATAGTAACTGGAGCATTGATTGCGCATCCCATATTAGCAGGTGGTGGTGGTGGTTTTTCTGTTGTTGCATCCGGTGTTGCTCTTCAAGCATCTGTAGAACATTCGCAGGTTGCCTTGGCCATCGCTATGTTGAACCTTTGGACTAGTATTGGTGGTGCAATTGGAGAAGCAGTTACTGGTGCTATATGGAATGCTAAAATGCCTGGTAGTTTGAGAAAACACTTATCCTCATCTGTAACTGATGCACAAGTCGCAGAATTGTTTGGAGATATTACATTACTTCATGAATACCCTATCGAGAGTGAAGTTAGACAAGGTGCAATTGCCGCTTATCAAGAGGTAAATTACTATTTCTTTTGTACTGCGCTAGGTTTGTCTTTTGTTCCATTTATTTGTGCCTTCTTTCAGACGAACTATTTCCTTAACGATCAACAGAATGCAGTTGATCAGGACTTAATTGATGAAAAAGAAAGAACAAGAGATGCATCCAAGAATTGGAAAGATAAAATTGCAAGACTCCTTTGAAGGGACGTCTTCATATAGGATTCTATTTCAACGATGTGCTAAGTTATATCTATATTGTATGCCCCCTTGTATCTAAAAATTCAATAAATAAGGGATAGTAAATTATTGAGAATTCAATTCTCAATTGTGTGATCAAAATGGCTATATCAAGCATGGTGGGTATTAATTATGGAAGCCTTCTTGAAGAACCATAAAGCAGGTAAATGGTTTGTATATCTATACTATGTCAATTATGGTAGATGACAAAGGTTGTTAAATAAGATTCAAAGTCTTTTTTTAGCTTAATATACTAGTTGATACAAACTATTGTATGAATGAAGCTGGAATTTTTCTATTGAATATAGATCTAAAAATATCGCCGTTTGATTGCACGAAAAACTTAATAAACTTTTTTGTATTCTTTGGATTCTATCAAATATACAAAATTTGAACAGATGTAGCACATTTTCTTATTTGGTGAATTATATTCTTCCTGTTGCACTTGAAAATTCTGAGCCTGTGTATAGTAGAGCAGATTTATTAAAATTCAAACCTTATAAGGTCAGATATGTGCTGAACACATAGAAGTTATATGGAGATTATTTAATCAATAACTCTGGAGACACATGAATTTGTCCATCAAAAAATTTTTTTTACATCTGAAAGAAGAAGACTGATAAGAAGCTCTATTGGGATTTTGTTTGTTTCATTACAACAAACATTTTGGGAACTATATTTTTTTATTGATTTGCTAGAGTTCCCAAGAAAAATAGACAAAAAACATAAAAAACATAAATAGAATAGCTGTTAGATTGTAAATTATGTGTAGGAATAAAAGCAAATAGCACGTTATAAAATAATTTGATTCAAGTCTTGAGCTGCATCATGTTGAATATTTCGCGCTGGCTGCCAATCGTTGACCATCAAAAATTATAGTTAATTGAGCAGAATAAGGAACCAAATTTTGTATAGCCTACACTGATACGATCAGTAGAGGAATTATCAGTAAAGAAATTTAAAGAGTGGTATAATTAATTTACAATTGTCTTATCCCTTACAAGAAATGACAATATCGTATTTCATCAATGGTCAGCCTTAAAAGCAGAGTAACGTAAACCGAATGCCATGGCCGAGAACATGTAGAACGTCTACAAATAGAAATGAACACCCACTCGTTGAAGCGTGATTTAAGAGAGTTTAATGAAACTAAATTTTTACTTTATGGCATTCTTTCGTTTATTCTTATGTCAATGATAATTTATCTTATGGTTTTGAAAGAGAGTTAATATCATATTTCAAAAAACCTGTTTAAGTATCATGTTTTCTATTATATGATTTAACTCTCAAAATGGATTTTAGATAACATACATTTTAAAGAAAATAATACAAATAACTACAGAGAATAGTCATACAGTTCACTTGTTGTTATATTGAAGTTGAGCCAAGGGTGAAGTACTGTATTAATAAAATTGCGATATCTAGAACTGCGTGAAAGGAACTCATTTAGTTTGCCCGATTTTGTAGATGTGGGATTTCAACTAAAGGTCTTAGAAGGGACTTTTAACATTCAAATCTTTGGCGACCTAAATGTTTGATCTATAGAATTATTTTATAATATTCCTAAAATAATGTTTCGCTGTTCATAAATTTGAATTTCCAAAGCTTTATTATACTTTGTCTTTTTTCATAAAAAAAAGATCATCACTCTTTTATTGCGTATTCCGTTACTTAAAATTAACATGAACCTCAAACCATTCAATAAATAGTAACTAAGTAGAAAGTTTGAATATCCCCTGAATCATAATAATCGTTGAAGATTGTAATAAATCCTGACACATATGTTCACTTACTAATGACAGTGTATTTTTAAAATTCTCGGAATTCTTGTCCAACCACGTGATGGTGTTGTCAAGTGGACTTTTATACGTATTTTCTTGTCCCCTGCATAGTGCGGCTCGTATCAGTACTCCATAAAAGAAGTATTTTTAGTAAATGATGATCTATTCAAACAGAATTACACTATTCTTTAAAACTTCTTATGAACTTATTTTTAGTTATGATATTCTATTCATAGAAGGTTGTACCTTTATCAATTTCTCCTAATGATCTTATTTTTAGTAACCTTCAAAATATAAAAGAGCAGGAATTTTTTGGATGAAATCAAACAATTTATTCTTTCATTAACAATACAATTAAATATGATTTTCAACTTTGGTTTATTAGTTTTAGTTAATATCTTATTAGCAGAGGGTGCAGAAATTTTCTCCTACCATGAACAAAAATGCGCAGGTGATCTGTCAGGAAATATCCAACTTGACGAAAATACATGTTATGGAATGACTGGAGGTAACCAACAAAGTTTTTCTGTGTCGAATGAATCAGATGATTATACTGTTTATGTCTGGTATGGAAACATGCAGTGCAATGATGCATGGAGTGAGTCATTCAATCACAATGACTGTCGTGACTTAGATAATGATGAATTCTCAGTTTTAGTTTCTAGAGGTGATGTTAAAAGTTCAATTGTGAAGCCTCAAAAACATGTGAAGATCGACAACTTCTTTTAGTGTCGGGCTATTAGGCTAATGAAGTATTGAAAAAAATAAAAAAAATCTTATATATCTATCTATGCTATGAACTATCTTTACAATATACTTTAAGAGTCTTTCCAATCAGTAGAAATAAGTTAACTTAGGATTATTTAGAAATGAGCCTTCAAGTAGTTGTAAAAAAAGTTTCATTTGCAAAGTACGCTATGCGCAAAGAATAAAACTTGAATTGTTAAAAATTATGCAGCGACTTTCTGAGACTATTCTCTGTGTCATTAATTGCGCCTTGTATTGATTGCAATGCAACATAATATTATAGCTAGAGATGTCAGCAGTGTGTATATAATACAAAAGTACCAATTTTCAATCTACTCAAAATCATAAAATTAATAGGTTAGATACAGTTCAAAGTAAAATTCAAGTTTCTTATATCCCTATTTGTCTTTCCTAGTTTTGTAGGCCAATTTTGCCAAAAACCTGTCAACAAAATCTGGACCGTCGTCACCTTCGGGGTTATTATGTTCTTCTGGTTCTATCGCATTTTGACCATCACCTAAGTAGTAATTCTTTTGAAAAAAGCAAACGATGAAGGAAATAAATAAAACCCCTAAAGCCGGCGCAAAGAGGTAATAAACAGTATCGATATACGCATCAATAGCTGCACTTCTAACTGGGCTACCCATTGGATATTTCCGTAATAATTTCAAATTTCCAAAAAAGGTTTGCACTTGTTCATCAGTTATGTTACTTGGCATATATTTTCTCAAATTCGTTGGTGTTTTGCTATTCCATATAACAGCAGCAATTGCACTTCCAATTGCACTTCCAATACTAGAAAATAGGACAAGAGTTGTTATTGCCATTGTCATGTTTTGATGGGAAACTGCTGCTTGTATCGCAGTACGTGAACTATAAACACTTAACCCTCCACCCATACCGGATAGAATTTGTGACATTACTAAAGTTCCAGTGTTTGTATTAGCATCTGTGATGCTTACTAACAAACCGGCACCGATCATTTCAATTGATATCCCAATTATCTGCAAATACTTGTAATGGCGTGTACGTCTAAGTATCAAACCAGCCACAAGACCAAAAAGACATTTTGATGCTACAACAGATTTAGTAAAATACGTCCAGTCTCTATTGTTCCAATCTTTGTAGATCAAGACAAAAGATGAAAGATAAGTTTTGCGCATAGTTGATGACATGAAATAAAAAATGTTGAATATTACTTCTGTAATGACAGTTCTGTTGAAATTCTTCTTATGAATACATGGATATGGTGCAAAATATATTTCAAATAAAACGAAAATTATTAATAGTACACCTCCAACAATAAACATTGCTATAATACTTGGATTTTTCCAACCATTTTCTGCTGTACGATATAAAGACAAGGGTAAAAGAATAAGAGCTAACGATGATCCCAAGAAAAGCAAACCGATAACGTCTATTTCTTTT